TTTGACTTTAATTCGACATTTAAGTTGACGCAATCCACGAGTCATCTTCTCTCGTTTCAGGTCAACACAGACTGAGCTCCAGCTTGGCATCACGTCAGCAAGGCTATCCGGCTCCATGCTTCCGGCTAGCTATGCTCATGACTAAAAGCTGGAAGCGATTTCCATTCTATCATACGTCCGCGTGTATATATTTTTGTTTCTAGTTGCACAACAGAGCAGAATAGTCCTTTTGACGTGGTCCTTTTGCGAGAATGAGTTCCAGGTCTGAGAATGCTTGCGAATTGACATGACGGACGAAGGTGCAGACCGTGTTTGTCTGAAACGAACGAGGACGTTGTGTGGACTGCACCAGCCTGAACGTCGCGGCAAGGTCAAACGACTGCGTAACAAAAGGAATCAACTGTCGTCTTTCTGTGTATGATCAACCAGTGAAGCTCTTCATCAGGCACAATCGCCAAAACAATGTTATTTAACGGGATTTATGTGAACCCACTATTTTCATCTAATCGTGGAGACCAGATCAAAAGGAGACTGGCGTAATGACAATTGCAAGTCAATCCCCATTTCACCGATGCTTCCACACAAGTTGACGTGTGTTTTTAAAGCGAAAACAGGCGGCATGCAATTAGAAAGTGCAATTGACAGTTAACTTGACACTTACTCACTCTGCAATGACGCACGTCAAGTCGGCGCAACGGTCGAGCTCGGTTAAACTGGGCCTCGCGATCGATAACGCCTGCACGGCCTGCTGTCCACCGTATCGATCAGTGCCCTCGACCGCTATCAGAGGCTCACACAGACAGGCGCTTAAAGCGCATAGGCCTCGAGAAGCCGGCATCGATCGGGTTCGGCAATGCAACCGGCCAGCCGGTCAGCCAGCGCCTCGGCAGCCCAACCTGCGCGAAAGACTCTCGGCACGGGAGGCGTGCTGCTCGTCGCAGTCGGTGTCTTTGAGTTTGCCTCTTCTCGGTCGGGCATGGCGCCAGTTCTGTCTGTTCGCGCCAGCTGCGACGGCTGCTGAAACAGGCGACAGTTGCAAGGCTCAACACCAAAATAAAGACGAGGCGTGGTTGTTGCTTTGATGGGCACTTTTGCCAGACCCATCAAGATTCTGCTGCAGTTTCAACATCATCCCAGCGTCTTGTCATCCCGCCTGGTGGGATTCGAATCGAGTAAGTACGGGCTGACAGACGAACATTTTTTTAAGGTCAGCGAACAAGAATGAGAAAACATGAAATGTGTTCAGCCTATTTCGTTTCGTTGAATTTTACCACAAGCATATGAGTACATTTTCATTGATTTTCATATAGCCTTGCCTCCCAAAGGGTAGTTATGCGATCATAAAACGATGGTTTATTCAAAATGTAATTTATTTCGTAAACATGTAGGATTTGAAGACTGCCGGTAAATCAAATATATGAGTTGTGTTCAACATATTTAGTTCAAGGTGATGAAGATATAACACAACTCATATATCAGATTTACTGGTAGTAGACTAGAATAGACTAAAAATAGTAAATTGAATTCACTTTATATCGTTTTAGGTGACAAAGAAACTAATAGTTGAATTTTTCCCACAATGATAAGAATAGACCTTACATTTTTATTGAATTTCACATAGCCTTGCCTCCCAAAAGGTGGTTATGCCATCCTAAAACGATGGCTATCTCCAAAATAGAATTTATTTCGTAAATATGTAGGATTTCGAGACTGCCGGTAAATCAAATATATGAGTTGTGTTCAACATATTTCGTTCAAGGTGGCGACGATATAACACAAATCATATATCAGATTTATTGGTAGTCTCGAAAACCCATTTATAGACTAAAAATAGTAAAGTAAATTCACTCTATTTCGTTTTAGGTGACAAGGGGACTGGTAGTTGAATTTTTCCCACAATGATATGAATAG